CACACAGAGTATAAACACACTGTACTTTGGTCTGGGCTTCTGTTGCAAGCTTAATTGTTCATTTCATTAACAAAAGTTCCTGCTTTAATTAGAATTATTAAATAGTCTTTTGTGACATAGACAGCAGTGATAATCAAATCACTTGTAAGATCCTTAGGTGGTTTGGTTTATTACTGACTAGTATAAATGCACATGACACACAACATGTACTCTCCGCTCTCTCTGCCTGTAGGTTAGGGGAATGCCCTGAAATAATAAAAACAACCATTTTATTAATAAAAGGCTAAAAAGAAATAATGCACTTTTGATTAATTAGTCTCACGTCACTATGGATGGCAGTCGCTGTGAGGCTGGAGTTTTACAGAACATGTAGTCTGTAACTGCCATTTTTAACCTTTACCTTTTTCATTACTTTGCTCTCTTTCTTTCTGAGAGCATGTCTGTTTTAAAAATCATTTGAATTATTAAATATAAGAATAGTTCTAGAGGTGTGCTATTCTTTTAAAGATTTATTTTTATTTTATGTGTATGAGTGGTTTGCTTACATTTATGTGTATGCACCACATGCATGCTGTGCCTGCAGAGGCCAGAAGCGGGCAGTGGATCCCCTGGACAGATTGTTACAGACTGTAGTGGGCTACTATGTGGGTGCTGGGAACCAAAGTGAGGTTCTCTATTAACCTCTGAGCCATCCTCTGAGTGGTCCTGTTTCCAGCCTGGCAGGTGTGCTGTCTTTATAATGCTCTAGTTTCAAAATGCAAACTGAGAGTTGCAGTGAATCCCATTATGCACATTTAATTTTGGTAGTTTTCAATCTTCTCCCTCTACATGAGCTCAGAAGACTTATATAAAACTCCCTACTAATGTCTCTCAAAAAATTAAAAGGGAAGATTTTCATAGCCTGGCACGGTGGCATACACCTTTAATCCCAGCACTTGGGAGGCAGAGGCAGATGGATTGCTTCGAGTTCCAGGCCAATCTGGTCTACATAGTGAGTTCCAGGCCAGCTGGAGCTACAGAGAGACCCTGTCTCAAAAGACCAAAAAACCCCCAAACAAACAAAAAATCAAATCAAAACAAAACAAACAAACAAACAAAGAAACAAACTTCATCAAATAAGCAAATACAAACCCTTTGGATGCTGTAAAGGGAAGACTACTCTTCAGTGAAATCAGCTTAGGAATCTTCAAATTACTCAAAATATCTGTAATTCTAAGGGAACTTTAAAAATGATTGCCAAAGTGCATTTTTGACCCCTGTAAAACATCAGGTGGCTGTAGGTGTGTGTTTGTTGGAAAGAGGGGTTTAGTGGAAGGAGGAGGGGAATGAGGCAGGTAATAGGGGTGAGAAGAAATAAAATACATTATATATATATGTGTGAAGCCATCAAAAAGAAAAAGTAAATAAGTTTAACATTTTAAAAAGTACTGAAAAGAATTAAGTTCTGGGACAATAGCAACCCCAAATGCCAATCATTCCAAATAAACTTCACTGAATGGAAAAGATCTTTAGTTAACGATACTTGATCTGAATGTGGAATTATGGAAGTATTTCTCAAGTACTATTAGTTTGCAATTCTCTAGAGCTGCAAATAATTCATGACAGTTATGCAACTCATACTGAGGTTGCCAAGAAAAATGTTTCAAAGGTGT